CCGCTTCAAGCTGCTCAGCGAAAACCCCGATCGTCCGCGGCTCGTAAAACCCAAATGTGCTCCTCCTCCGCCTCCTACGCTACGAGGCCAACACTCGTACAGCGAAACGACGGGGGGGGAGGAGGAGGGGGAGGTGAACGGGGAGAAAGGGATTCGAACCGGGAAAGGAGGAGGACCTATGATGACGACGGGGAGACCTTCAGTGCCGCCGCCTCAGGTTCCTCCCACAAACACTCCTTCAAAAATGGCAAACGGATCCACTCCCTCTTCGTCCTCTAAAGCGGGTTTACGGAGGATTCGACAGCAAGCGGATCGCGGCGTCCCCCCCGAGCGGGTGGGTCGAGAGGCGTTGTTGGAGTGTGCCGATTCGTTGATAGTCGTCCTCCGCGACTCCTCCCCCTCTGACTCCCCCCCCTCCAACAGTGTGGTCCTGGACGCGGGGCTGCAGCTGCTGGACCGATGCTCCGGGTACGTGGACGTCATCCCGCAGATGAGGAACAAATTCGCTTTTCGGGAGGCGGTGGGGAAGCTGGAGGTCAGCCTGCAGGAGCTGAGGGCCTCGGGGGGGGGAGGGGGAGGGGGGGGCACGGTACTGGAGAACTTGCAGGGCTGCGTGAAAGAAATCAGAGACGTGGTGCAGAGGTAACAGCTGTGACATCACTGTGACATCACTGTGACATCACTGTGACATCATGAAAGAATGAAGACTCTTGAAATAAACTGTCTTTTAAGGACCTTGTTCTGGCAAGAAGGTGTCATGCAGTCTGCGGCGAAATGCAAAAGTCAGGAGGTCCCCAGTTCACATTTGGACACCAAGAATGGAAGAGGAGGGGCTGTGACATCACTGTGACATCACTGTGACATCACTGTTACATCTGTGGTGGAGATGTATCGAGACACACACTAACAAATAATAGTAAACGGGTGAGAAAACCTTGAAGATTCTTGAAATAAGACGGGAGTTTAGGGACTTTATTCTTGCAAGAAGGTGTCTGCGGCAAAAGTCAGAAGGTCTGCAGAGGGGCTTATATTCACATTTGAACACTAAGAATAGACGAGGAGGGGCTGTGACATCACTGTGACATCACTGTGACATCACTGTGACATCACGCCGGTCACACTGGTTTCCCTCCTTTCTTCTGGTTCTTTTTTACAGCTTTTCGGGGACGGGTCTGGACGGTACCTCAGAGAAATCACTCACTCACTGTTTACAACCAACACACACAAACTACAGGTGGTTTCAGTCCTGCAACGATAAAGCCTCTTCGGTTCACGAATGTCGAGTGTATCAGCTGTTCGGAAAGATCTCAAGTCTGTCTGTTTGTCCGTCAGATACTGAGCAAAATACGTGTTTACTGACAAACCTCAAACAGTGTCGAGTAGAGCTGCAACGATTAAGATCTCAAATATTAAGATTAGTTGCTTTTTTCTGATTTCTATCAAAGTAAAGAGATTAAATCTGGATTTCTGACTGACATGTTCCACTATTCTCTGACATGTTAAACACTAAACAGCTGATCTCAGGCCCTCATTAGTTGCAGCTCCAAAGGGAATCATTAGTAAGATATTTAGCTCGGTGTCTGGGGATCATCGTAAACCTTTCAAAAGCCATTTTATCCTAAAGTATTGGAAACAAAGTCCATGTGATTTCAAGATGTCGGGGTCTTAATGTGACACCGATTTGCATTTACATTTCATGATCAGTATTTTTAACTAGAGGGACAAATGTGATAAAACCATGAATCTCCCAAAATCTGTCTGTCTTGGTATTATCGAATAATAACAGACGTGTAAACACAAAGGGATAACAGCTTTAGAGAAGCGTGTAAATAAGCTCAAATGAAACGTTAGAACAGGTTGATCAAATCCACACAGAGACCCCTTTATTCCCCTCATGACCAGATGGTGTTTCACAGCATTTGTCTTCAGTGTCCACACGTAAACACGGTGCCGTCTCCGAGAGCATTTCAGTATTGAAGTCCAGTTTGAATGCACAGTAACGTCAGTCTGGTGGGAGCGCAGGAGCAGAACTGGGGCGGTGTTTCTATAAGTGTCCTTCTGACGGACTGATCCAATCCCTGAAGCCTTGTCGTGTCCTCAGTGCCTCGAAATCTTCCACGAAATGAACACTGCAAAGAAACCAGAGACCTGCTACACACACACACACACACACACACACACACACACACACACACACACACACACACACACACACACACACACACACACACACACACTGATCTCTCTTCCGACGAACTGCAGTATGTCTTCAGCACATTGTACATTATTTTGGTTTTTAAAAAAATAAGAAAAGCTTTTTTTCAGAATGTCTATGTATGAACTTGAATTTTTAAATTATTCCTTTTTTTTCTTTTTATTAAAAAGCACAGAGCTATTTTGAGAGATGTAAATATTGGATTTATTTCATATCCAGGAAACAGAGGATGTATGTGTGCTCACAGCATATAGAGCGTGTCTGACTGAAGAACACCTGAATATATGAATGTATTATTCTTCCCTTCTGAACCCGGGCGAATGACCATCTGCATGAATCTCTAAAGGTGCCATTTTTTTATTTGTATTATTATTTATTATACTTTTTTTTTTTGTATTGGCCCATACTTCTCATTTTGGTCACACTAAATACTAACGTCCAGAAGCAGTTGCTCTGTTTTTTGAGCACAAATTAAACATTTTCCTTTGCTTTTCACATCTAAATGTACACTGGATACGGCCTCGCAAACAAAACCTAATCTGTAAAAACACTGCAGGTCCAAAACAACATGCTCATGACACTTGATTGACTGCAGAGTAAACGTTGTTTTTCAGTTCATGTCGTGCGTCAGTATTTTAATGTTCAAACAGGTTCCTGTGAGACGAACTGATTTCTATTCGCTGTGATTTTACAGAAACACGGAGAGAAGAAACGCCGTGTGATTTTTATTTGATGATTCTTGGTGCCTTTTTGTGAGCAAATGATTCATGTCTTTCACTGCGAGAGAAACAGGCAATGTTTAAAATCCATCATTAAAAAAACATTCATGTCTTCCATTTTCCATGAGCTTTTCTGTCACTTGGAGGTTGATTACTCAGATGCAAAATTGAAATTTAAAAGTGCATTTGTCTATTAAATTAAGTATGTAGATACTCGGTTGCTACGGTTACTTATTGGAGGTCGTTAACTCTGTTAGTGCAGCAACATCTGGTTGATTTCCCTCTAACAAACATGCACAAAAACACTTTGGAGAAACACCCTGCCGCTTCAGAAACAAGGAAGCCGCAACACATTTATTTAAAATTGCTTCTTGATTATTTGTGTAGCATAGTTGTGAGAAGAAAAAAAGCCTTATCAAGTCAAACGTAACCTCCAAAATCAAACGTATTTAAAGAAATACAACACAGATATTCAATTTGTCAAAAAATCGATTTGTTCTCAATGATTTTTCCACAGATCGTCTCATTGTCAATCCTCTTCGTTGTTGTTGTTGTTGTTATTTATGTCGCCTGTGTTTTTTGTTGTTTTTCTGGAGATCGTGTTCACATCCAACCAAAGGCCACTTCTTCAGCTGTACGAGTGCAATGTAAAGCAACACACACACAATGATGGAAGATGTGAATTTAAACAGGGATTTAAAAAAGCAGAGACGTTAACATTAACTTTTTTATTGTACAAAATATATATTTAGTTTTTTTTTTTATTTAAAGCTCACGTTATATTACTGTGAAGTTTTGCTTATCAGTGTTAAGCCTATTGTAAATAATAAAGATATTGATGAATACTGCTCTGCTATTGGTTCTTCATCTGCTTCTATCAGCGCAATTATAATCATGATAACACTGACTAGGTATATATATTAATTTATCAAATACATACATGGCCCCTTAGAATAAGTGTATATTTTTAAACTCGCATAAATGCATTAAATTACATTTCACTTCACTCAATACTGTGGAAAATCCCCCCAGGAGCAATTTGGGGTGAAGGGTCTCAGGGACACAACGACATGGTAACTGCAGTGGGGTTTGAACCTGTGATCCCCCTGATCCGAACCCCAGCACACTAGTCCACTGCGCCACACGCCTCCCTAGTATCTATTGCATTTATTTATCTACAATACACTTTATATTACAAACGAGAATACCATTAATTCAATGTTAAATGTATCATGTTTAAGCTCCATCACCATCATTGTTTATTTCCTTATTAATATTAAAAATAACATGGATTTAAATGGAGATAATATCGATGATTACAAATCAGTATCAACCTTCTTTTTTTTATATGGATTTCCTCATCACTTTTGCTTAAGTATTAAACACTTTACTTAATTAAGATACATTGAAATCATGACAAAAAAATGTAAGAAAAATACATTTTATTAAGTATAGAAAAGTTTACATTATTCAAGGAATTATTTCAAGCTAATCACCCATACAAATCCAATGAAATTCTGGGTTAGGTTTAAACAATTTACCATAAATAACCAGCAAGATTACCATTAAATTAAGTCTAAATGTATCATGTAGCTCCAGCACCATCACCGTCTCTCCACGCCTTGTTATCCTGTAATTGGGGATTTTTTTGTTTGACATTTTATTATAATCAATACCCTCACTAACTCAAATAGAATGGACTTATAATGAAATAATAATGACAATATAAAGCAAAGAAAAAAAACCTCCATCATCATCACCGACTGCCCCCTGCTGGTAACACCCCCCCCTCCCCCCCCGTTCCCCGGCAACATTCCCCTCCTCTCCCCGGCTCCTCCCCTCCTTGTTTTTTGGGATTCTTTTGTTTTACATTTAATTATTATCAATACACTCTCTAACTCAAAAATAATTGACTTACATTGAAATAATGGTGACAATATAACTAGAAAAAAGCTCCAGGACCATCACCGGCTGCCCCCTGCCGGTATCACCCCCCCGTTCCCCGGGCACCGCTCCTCACTCCCCCCTCTCTTATCCGGCTCCTCCCAGCTCCTCCTGTTGTAAAGATGGCGTCCATCATGGAGGGGCCGCTCAGCAAGTGGACAAACGTGATGAAGGGATGGCAGTACCGCTGGTTCGTGCTGGACTACAACGCCGGATTACTGTCTTACTACACGGTCAGTTCACAGGGTTCTAACCGCTGATTTTATCCCTTATGGAGGTTTTTAGAGCAACTTGTTACTGGCTGTCAGACAGGATAAGGGCCTTGTGTTTGTCAGAAGTCTCAGCTGGCAGTGAGAGGCGGGGCTCCGTGATGACGGATCCGTGTGTCAGCCAATAGAAACGGTCCCTGCAAACCAACTGGCCAATAGAGTGGCAGTATTCTTCCCCACACTTACGCTAATGTAGCTAGCTATCAAGGCTAGACAACACCCACTCGGCTAAACGTTATTGTGAGTAGTTAACAGAATAAAGCGATACAAATACATCGTTTTATAATTTTTAGGGACATTGTTTGTCTTTGGGAGTTATACTGGAGTCTCGTCACTCCCTGGTTTGTTCGCTAAATAGATAATAAGACACTGCAGGAGGAGACAGTGGCTGTCAGTTAGATTTTTGATAAATCCAACGTCAACAGAATAGATTTACTCAATTATACTGAACGTAAGTACAATTTAGAGGTACTTGTACTTTACTTGAGCAATTCCATGTTCTGCTTCTTTGTACTTCTATTCCTCTACAGTTCAGAGGTAAATGGTGTACTTTTACTCCACTACATGTATTTAATAGTTTAGTTGCAGTATACAAAGTCATTCAAACTAGCTGCACCTTTACCAGCTTTGAGAACACTTTCATGATCAATCATTATAAAACATATCATATATATTATTCTGAAATGGACCAATCTGCACAATGACTACTTTTACTGTCACTACTTTCACTATATTTAGATGAGAATACTTTTCTACTTTCACTTGAGGAACATTTTGAATGCAGGACTTTTACTGTAACAGAGTATTCCTACACTCTGGTACTTCTACTTTTACTAAAGAACAGGATCTGAGTACTTCTACTTTTACTCAAGAACAAGACCTGAGTACTTCTACTTTTACTCAAGTACAAGATCTGAGTACTTCTACTTTAACTCAAGTACAAGATCTGAGTACTTCTAATTCTACTCAAGTACAAGATCTGAGTACTTCTACTTCTACTCAAGTACAAGATCTGAGTACTTCTACCACCCCTAAATATACCGTCAGTGTACTCTGATTAAAGTCAAGAGCAATGCGGATAATAAACTGTCACTTCTATTTGACAAATAANTTCCCTCACTGCTTGCCTTTTCAAACTCTATTGTTTCGCTTATATTTGACTCTTTCTACGTATTTTAGGATATAATTCAATCCTTTATGAGAGGACATCAGGATTGGGTCAATGTTCTTATAGTTAAACCTTCCTCTGTATTTCAGGATATAATTCAATCTGCAGTCAGAGGGCATCAGTGTTTCCTTGAGACCTGAATATGAAGTCTTTTTATGTATTTGTACAGCTTTTTGTGACCCTGTTCACGAACATGTAATCACACACTATGTTATTCTTTCTTCCTCGATTGATTGTTTTTATACTTTTTTCCGAACAAAACAGTTTCAGAAAAGCCTCTAAAATATATTTCCGGCTTCTTTTCTTAGTTTCTTTCTTTAAGTGAAAACCTTTTTAGAGTCTTTGTAGATTTTGGACATGTTCCACTCTTCTGACATTCATCAATGATCCATACCCTCATCAGTGATCACTGGCTGCAGCTCCACATGTTGGACTCTTTACCTCCACTTATTGGACTGGGACGAGTTTCTGTCTTTAATACATGAGGAAGAGAATCAATCAATCAATCAATCAATCAATTAACCAATCAATCATTCAATCAATCATTCCCAATGTCGTGAATATCTCCATCAGTATCAGTCAGAGAAACCGCAATTTGTTCATTATAGTCACATTTGTTTTAACGGCTCTTCCTCCTCTCCCTCCCTCCTCTTCTCACTCTTCCTCCTTTTCTTCCTCCTCTCCCTCTTCCTCCTCTTCCTCCTCCTCCTCCTCTTCCTCCTCCTCTTCCTCCAGAAGCTCTCCACCGGCCCTTCGGCCTGGACTCTTCTCTCCTGACGGAGGCGGTGCGCTGGAGTTCGAAGGAGAACCTGTTGGGGGCGACGGAGAGCGACCCAAACCTCTTCGTGGCTCTTTATGACTTCGTGGCCAGCGGAGACAACACGCTCAGCATCACCAAAGGTAAACAACAACAACAACAACCAGGAGCTTCTGTTTGTTTGTCTGTCTGCAGAATTACTAAAAACCAGTCGTCTGATTTTCATGAGACTTAGTGGAAGGTTGTAGTACGGGCCAAAGGAGAACAACAACACTCAGTATCAGCAAAGGTAAAGGGAGAAGCCCAACAACAACAACAACAACAACAAGGAGCTTCTTTTAGTTTGTCTGTCTGTCTGCAGGATTACCCAAAACCTCTGTGATTTCCATGAGACTTAGTGGAAGAGTGTAGTACGGGTCAAAGGAGAACTCTTACATTTCGGATTCAACATTATTTTATTTTTGTAGTTCGTAAAGTCTTAGATTATCTAAAGATTTCACTCCGACTTGGTCAAATGTACGTTAAAGCCCTGCAAGTCCGAAAAAACTTCATCCAGAGACGTCCAGGCTTCTGTCTCCGACCACTTCTCGGTAGAAAACATTCTTCCTTCGTCATATTTAAGTTAAAACCAAGACATTTAATCTCCCCACCTCGGACAAAATAGGACATTTTCGTTCACTTTTTTACATCTTATAGACAAAAACACTTCTACTATTTAGTAATACGGAGAATCCCAAAGCTTTGCAGCGAATCAAAACCATGAACTAGCTTCGGGATAATCTTAAAAGTCAAATAATTGACGTAGAAAATGTCGTAAATACCTCGTCAAGTCAGAAAATAACTCAACGAAAGTGTTGGTACCGGACTGTCCGAGTTCAGGGTCATTTTGCAGAAACATGGCCGACAAAAGACAAAAGAACATTTTTAATGATAATATTTGGGCCGCAAGATTTCGACTTCTATAACGATATGATTCACCACATTAAAGGCAATTCAACTCTTTAGTTATATACTATTGTTGACACCTTTTAAGTCTGTAGAATATTTAATATTAATATAGAAATTATGTTTTAGCATATTTTGCCTTTAACAAATATTCTGTCACTTCAATTCCAATATGGGACTTGCCAATAAAGCTAGAATGAATACACGTGCAGCCCTTGTTATAATCTGCTATGCCTATTCTCTACCAACACCGAAAGCCCTTGAGCACCCTCATTGGGAATTGGGATTATCCGAGCAGCCCCTGAATGCACCATTGGCTTTAGTCAAAAGTCAAAGTCAGCTTTATTGTCAAAAATTCTACATATCGAAATATCGTTTCCCACAGTGTGACGTGTATACATTAAACAAAACAAAGGGCCTAGACAACCGGGGTTTAAAATGTTAATAATATATTTAAAGTGTTCAAAGTACAGTTTCAGTGCAGTAGCAGCGTCCTAGTTGTCTCTGATTCTCTGTGGAAGCTAGTGTTCATTTCGTTGACTAAAACTATGACGAAATATGTTCGTCAACGACCTTTTTTTCCATGACGAAAACGAGACGATGACGTGACGGCACCGACGGCAGTAAACAATAACTGTAAGGAAATCATCATGCAATATCGTTGACGAAAAGTGACGAGACGAAAATGTAGTTTACTAAATAAAAACTATGCCAAAATCTGTCTTTACTTTCGTTGACGGAAACTGAGGAGACGAAATATTATCAAAGATAACGTTACATCTCTGATAGCCAGTTTTTCTCCCAGCAGTTCCATTTCCGGTGCTGCGGCTGGGCAGCAGCTGTGTGTCCGTGCTGCGCGCGGCGGTACATTTGAATTACACCGGGCAGCGGCACACTGTCAGGAAGACTTGGGTCTAACGAACCTTATTTAACAGAAAATAAAATGGCAACAACAGGGCTTGGGAGCAGTGGTCGCGTTAACCGAATACACCCCCCCCCTCGTCAGCGCG